ACAAGATTGGATTGTGTCTTGGGCCAATCTCTTTTGACATACAAAAGAGAGAAGCAAGCAGAGAGACACAGGGGACCTCACACCACCAAGAATGCAGCACCAGGAGTAGAGCATGTCTTTTGGACTCAGGTTTCCTGCGCTGAGAAGCTCCTAGACCAGGAAATATTGATGACAAGGACCCTTCTCCAGAGCCAACAAAGAGAGAAAGCTTTCCCCTGAAGCTGATACCCCGACTTTGGACTTGTAGCCTACTAGACTGTGAGAGAATAAATTTCTCTTTGTTAAGAAATCCGCTTGTGGTATTTATGTTATAGCAGCACTAGATGACTAAGACAGATGGTCTCTGAAGTAACTTCCAGCTCTAAACTTCTGTGATTTAGGATTTTTTTTTACAATTAATTTTTAAACAAAGTTTTAATAAAATTGAATATAGGAAGCATTGTATGATTTAGCAATTTATATTCTAGTTAAATCTATTTCAGATTAAAATTTTATTATGGAACATTTAAAATACAGAAACGTATGGAAAGTGTCATTCACTTTAAGAAATAAAACTTCATGCATTTTTATAGATTTGGAAATGCTGTGGATGAAATGCAATCGTATTTAAAGGTGCAAAAATAAGATTCAAGTCACTGCTGAAAAAGGAAATTACTTTGGATGCCTATTGTTTCTGGAAGAAGGATGTTTTTATGCCTGTGTGGCACTGACGTTATATTAGGTGGAGGCCAAAGCAGGGAACAGACCTCTCCTTTCTGGAACATTTCATCAGACTGAAATGGAATGAATATAGCTTGTTGTTGGTGTGTGCCATCGAGTTGATTCCGACTCATAGCGACTGTATAGGACAGAGGAGAACTACCCCATAGGGTTTCCAAGGCTGTAATCTTTATGGAAGCAGACTGTCACATCTTTCTCCCATGGAGCAGCTGGTGGTTCAAACCACTGACCTTTAGGTTAGCAATTTAACCAAGCTCTTAACCACTGTACCACCAGGGCTCCTAGTTTAGCAACAATGCACACCTAAATAAAACATGGACCTTACATTTGATATGAATCTTATTTGCAATAAGAAGCCTTCCATGGGGATCCAAGCGTAATGGAAACACCTCTTGACGTATAATTGACTTAGGTTTGAATACTGGCTCCTTTCCTTTCTGCATGTATGACCTTTCTAGAGTTATATAATCCTGCTGTGCCTTAGTTCCTTCGTAAAATGGGAATAACCTTAGGGTTGTTGTGAATATTAAATTATACAAAACATCTAAGGCTCTAAGAACAATGACTGATACATAGAGGAGGCACAATGAATATTGCCTATTATTACTACTATAATTTGATGCCATAAATAATTATTGGATAATAATAATGTAGATACTGAATTACATGTGGGACTTCAGTTTTTGTTGGTTTGCTTTTGTTTGTCCCACAATGTTTTACAGAGTTAGATATGAAATTCTGGTGTATATCAGCCATCCATTGGGACTGAGTTAATCTCAAATAAAGCCTGTTTGAAGTCAGAGAACATTTTAAATTCAGAGGAGAAGATGAGATGTAAATGAAGTAGTTACTCAAGGTCTTGCCTTTAAGTTGTTGAGTTACTGTGCCAGGTTTTAGAGAGAGCATTTATGATGCATATTAAAACCACTGTGACATTCAAAGAGTCAAACATGCCTGATTAGACGTCCACGTCCTGTATTTATAAAAAGGTTAGTGGTGCATTTACTCAGTGCAAATTATTTTTGGCATTTGAAAGCATTCGACTGCGTGGATCATAACAAATTATGGATAACATTGTGAAGAATGAGAATTCCAGAACACTTAATTGTGCTCATGCAGAGCCTGTACCTAGACCAAGAGGCATCATTTGAACAGAACAAGGCAATACTGCGTGATTTAAAATCAAGAAAGGTGTGCGTCAGGGTTGTATCCTTTCACCATATTTATTCAATCTGTATGCTGAACAAATAATCCAAGAAGCAACCTAGACTATATGAAGAATGCAGGAGTGGAGGAAGCCTCATTAACAACCTGCGATATACAGATGACGCTACCTTGCTTGCTGAAAGTGAAGAGGACTTGAAGCACATACTGACAAAGATCAAAGACTACAGCCTTCAATATGAATTACACCTCAACATAAAGAAAACAAAAATCCTCACAACTGAACCAATAAGCAACATCATGATAAACGGAGAAAAGATTGAAGTTGTTAAGGATTTCATTTTACTTGGATCCACAATCAATGCCCATGGAAGCAGCAGTCAAGAATCAAACGATGTACTGCATTGGGCAAATCTGCTGCAAAAGACCTCTTTAAAGTGTTGAAAATCAAAGATGTCACTTTGAGGGCTAAGCTGCGCCTGACCCAAGCCTGATATGCATGCAAAAGCTGGACAATGAATAAGGAAGACCGAAGAATTGACGTCTTTGAATTATGGTGTTGGCGAAGAATATTGAATATACCATGGACTGCCAGAAGAACAATCTGCCCTGGAAGAAGTACAGCCACAGCGTTCCTTAAAAGCGAGGATGGCGAGACTTCATCTCATATACCTTGGACATGTTATCAGGAGGGACCAGTCCCTGGAGAAGTACATCATGCTTGGTAAAGTAGAGGATCTGTGAAAAAGAGGAAGACCTTCAATGGGATGGATTGACACGGTGGCTGTAACAATGGGCTCAAGCATAACAAAGATGGTGAGGATGGCGCAGGACTGGGCAGTGTTTTGTTCTGTTGTACAGTGGGTCACTATGAGTTGGAACAGACTCGATGGCACCTAACAACAACAACAAACATTTAGGAATATAACAAGTCTATAAAGCATAATGTATGTGATTAACTTGTCCCGGTTATCAGCTTACTTTTACTTAAAAAGATATCCCAGAAGATGGTACATCTTGATCAGTAATTTCAGCAGATAGGGAGTAGGCAATATACTGAAAAGGGCAATTGTACTTTAAAGCTATGGGATAAAGAAATATAATTATGGCAATAATGTATTTTCTTGTATAAATTCATCATGGAAATGTAGGAAGACTTGCCTTTTGCAAGCAATTTCATTGTGATGCCTCTCATGATCCAAACCTTTCCTATAAGTAAGCAATTGCACTGCCTTGGGTGGATGTGCCCACAGGTCATCAACAGCAGTTGAAGAATTCAACACAGGAGCTGACTATTTGGTCTTAGTCATCTCAGGTTGAACTGGCTTTGATTGTACTACGTTTTGCAGGAAGGGGCTCTAGAGACCCTGGGGAGGTGAGGTGGCTTGATTGGTTGTTTGTGGTGCCTTTGGGGTAATATTAAACCAAAACCCGGTTGCTATAGTGTTGATTCTGACTCATGGTGACCCCATGTGTTACAGAGTAGAACCGTTCCACAGAGTTTTCTTGGTTGTAATCTTTATGGAAGCAGATTGCCAGGACCTTCTTCCGAGGTGCCAAGGAGTGGGTTCAAACCACCAACCTTTAGGTTAGTAGTCCAGTGCAAACCATTTGCACCACCCAGGGACAGGGTGTAAATCGTAGCTATCATGCACCTGAAAATTCTTCACAGGGTTTTGACAGATACTGAGTATTTGGTCACTAAAGTCCTGTGGCTTATTGATTTGCACATTTTGCACTGTTAAAGAATTAAACTTATGGTTTACAACCTTCCACTATCCAATCTCTTCTAAACTGGAAATATTTAGGCAACCTTCCTTAGAAACTCTTGATGTAAAGGACAGAAATGAACGAGCTCCTTCTAACAATAGGCAAATTGAACTCAAATATTTACTAAGAATAACAAACCAGTCAGAAAGAACTTGGAAGCTAACTTTGTCCACACCTAGTTATAGAAGGTGGTTGTTTAAGAAAATAAAAGCGTTCTGGATCCTCTCGTTCTTAGTACTTGTTTTCTGCCTATCCCATTTCTACAAGGCTTGTAAATATTAAAACCATAAAAAAACGCATTAACCCCGCCCCCCCATTACACAAGTTACATATTTACTGCCCAAAGGAACGCAACCAAGAAACTAAACCTACTGCTATGAGCCCACTCCAACTCACAGCAACCCTATAGGACAGAACAGAACTGCCGCATAGGGTTTCGCAGGCGGTAAATCTTTACGAAGCCAGCTGCCACATCGTTCTCCCGCAGATCGGCTGGTGGGTTCGAACCAGCGACCTTTTGGTTGGCAGCCCAGCGCTTTTAACCACCGCGCAACCAGAGCCCCTTAAGGAACAAAAAGCGCCTGCGATTTCCCCATTTGGGCGCAGTCTTGATTCTCCAGAGAAAGGGGACTCAGAACGAATGAGACTCAGACCTGGGATATTTGGGCCTGGACTTGGGCCTTCCTGGTGAAACATAAAACAATTAAACGACCCCCCCCGCCCCAAAGGCGATGCTGCTGGTACCATTAGCAGCCCCAGCTCAGAATCTGACTGTACGAACGAAAACAAGGACTGAGCTTGGGTCCTGAGATCCCGGCTTTCCGGGTCGGGGCCAAGTTCCCGAGATCCGGCCGAGGGCGGCACGGTCAAGCGGGCGCGGCGCTCCCGCTCCGGGGACTTTCACCTGCTCGGCAGGCAGCGCGGGGTGCGCGGGGCGGACCGGCGGGGCGGGGCCTCAGCTCCCCGCGGGA